ACTGGTCGCCTTTCACGATCCACATCGTTGTGGCCACATAACACCGCAGTATGGTGAATTCTGTGAACGTTGGGGCTCCGGCGAGGAAGGAATGGGCACAATACCAGATTGGAAACCAATTTATTATGATTGGCGTAATTTGGATGTGCCGGCGTATTTACCTGATACCGATGTAGTAAGACAGGAACTGGCAGCACAATACATGACCACATCGCGTTTGGATCAAGGTGTCGGCGTGGTGCTAAAAGAACTCGCAGCGCAAGCATTCGATGCGAATACCTTAGTCATCTATACATCGGACAACGGTCCACCGTTCCCAGGCGGTCGTACGAACCTCTATGAACGGGGTGTGCGCGAACCAATGATTATTGCGGCGCCAACAGTTAAAGCACGTCGCCATGAGACCACGGCGGCCATGTCAAGCTTACTGGACATTTTCAACACCGTACTTGATGCTTTCCACTACTACACACCTACTGTGAATGGATCTAGCGATGATGCAACCAAGTCTCTACTGCCGATATTGTACGAAGAACCACAACCAGTGGAGAGCGACGCTGTCTTTGGTAGTCAAAATTTCCATGAGGTCACCATGACCTACCCTATGCGCATGATACGCACACGCCGCTACAAACTGATACACAATCTTAACTTCTGGTCCTACTTCCCCATCGATCAAGATCTCTACACATCGCCTACTTTCCAACAACTGTTGAATGCGACGATCGCTAAACAGCCCTATCCATGGTACAAGTCGCTGCTTTCCTATTATGAACGACCGGAGTGGGAGTTGTACGATATTAAGGCTGATCCTTTGGAACGCAACAATTTAATGGAGAAATCTAAATATCAGCGTGTATTTGAGGAGTTGAGCGCCCGTTTGGTCAAGTGGCAAGTGAAGACAGGCGATCCATGGCGTTGCGCGCCGCATGCGGTGCTGGAGGCGCAGGGTGTATACAAAGAAAGTCCGGCCTGTCTGACACTGGGACACGAGGCGTTACGGCGCTCATTGACACAATACGACAAGTATGAGTTGATCTAAGTATTTAAATACATATCTACCTATCTACATATTTATAGGTATAATACTCAATTAATAATAATAATAGATTGGCGCTTACACATATGTTAGTGTTTGGCCGAGCTTCTCCTCCGATTTGTGGCGTGCGCCTTGATGTTGTCACACAAAACGGAGGGACCTACAGTTTTACGCCGACTCCGAACGGCGATTGTATACTCAATTATCTATACAAATTAAATTTAAAAAATAACTTATTGTTATAAATATACCTTTGTATTAATGAATGAAATTTTGAAAAAACATTCATATTTATGTATGTATGTAAATACACAGAATCTTTAGTAAACAAACAAATACTTAGCTATTCCTTAAAATAAGATATAAATTTGAAATAATGATTGTATGGAAAATATACTATAGAACTGATATGAATGCTTCGTTTGTAAAAATAACTTTTTTCAAGTCTAAGGGCTCATTTCTGATCAGAAATTAAGTTATATTTAACTTGCTTTCTGGGGAATTTATGAAACTAAGTTTTTCTGAAATGCAGGATTCTATATAGAAAAATAATTTCTCAGTTTTCACAGCCTTTTTATCAATTTGACGTTTGTGAGGCAGAGCAGCATTTAAAACATTACATTAAGTACGGCCCTTCGGGGAGCTTGGGATCCGAGGAATCTGCAATTTAGTTATACCAAAAAGTGCCACAAGGGTGCGCTTTGTTGCAAAAAAAAAAAAGTGGAAGGAACATCAAGGAAAAATGAAAACAATGTTCCTCAACAATATTGCTAAAGCATATATTTCCATATTTTTTGCACCAAAGCGCTCCCAGAGGCCGTTTTTGGTAAAAATAAATTGCAGATTGCTACCCGCTATTAGAGAAAACTTATTTTTTATTTTATTTTTTTATGGTGGCTGGAAACTTATTTTTTATTTTACTTTTTTATGTTGGCTGGAAACTGGGCTTGAACCTAGGCCCTGCGGAATGGTAGCGCGCACTGCGACAGCGGTGGCCCAAAAGGATCCTTCTCCGCGCACATTCCTCCAAGGGACGAATGGAAGAAGGGTTTGCCTCTGGAGAAGACGTCCAATAAACATTTTCAGGGGGGATCGGAGCTGAAAGTGAAAATTGTAGGAGGTGTCTACTGTCTGAATTCTTAGTAGATCTTATGTTCAGACTGCCGGATCTCTGTATCGTTTTTCAGGCCGAGGTGGCCGCTATAAAAGAGGCAGCCGATTAGCTATGCACCAATGTATTGTCGACAAGGAGGGTAAATATCAACATTGATACCCAGGCGGAAATCAGGACGCTGGGATCGCAAAAGGTATGTTCAAAGCTGGTAGGGGAATGCCTGACCTCTTCATAAACTACCTCGGAATACTTCCAGGTCAAACTGATTCAAGGGAGCTAAAGTCTGACATTACTTCTGACATAAATTCTATGATAATTGTATATTAAATGAGCCGCTCACTGCACAATTGATGAGCTCCACTTTAAAAAAAAAATGTTAAATTTTAGTGTCAAAGCTGGAAGTCCGGCACAAAATTAGATATTTTCCGGAGCAGTTGTTTAAAATTGGTGAATGGAACTCTTATGACTTATCATGTTCTTTTTTAAATTTGTGATTTATTTTTAGAAAATGTTGAATGTACTGTTGGTTTTCAGTTTAAAAATGTGCACTACTTCGGCTTTAGTAAGCTAATGCTGCATTTGGAAAACGTTTTCCTATTAACGGGAATTTCTTCCGATTTCTTCCGCTCCTAATCTCAGAAGAGGATGCTATTTTTACCCAACTTTTGCGAGTTGATGGTTAGCAGTCACAGGGCAAGAAAAAAACAAACTCTTCTACGGAAAACGAATTGGACATTGAAATTGAGGACGAATTGGATGATGATTTCGTTCTCGGATATAACTGTCGCTCTCTAATTATTGTGGAAGTTAAGTTATGACCGGGGAACGGATTTTATGGAAATTGCCTTTTTTTCTGTTGATTTTTTTTAGTTTGATGTTGCCTTTTTTGCCTTTTTTAAGATATTTGCATTTTTTTGCCTTTTTTAAGATATTTGCCTTTTCTACCTTTAAAAAAGTGATTATAGCATTTACAATTTTTTTTTTTAAGATTAAAATGCGGCTTATAGAAGCGCAGGGACCTCTTGCCAAATTGGTGTTGGAAAAATTCAAAGCCGTTTTCTCAGCTCACGTAGGCTTGGAGATAATAAGGGGTGTGGATAAAATTGTAAAGGGCGAGGAAAACGCCCTTATTCCTGATAATAGGAACGCTTCAAACGTTCCATATTTAAATTGGGCTCCACTTGTATCAACTTACTTCAAGGCTTTTCTTCGCGAAAATCGAATGAAAATGCATCTTGTGGTTCAATGTTACTACAACTATTCAGATTAAAGTTTTATGAGTTAGAAACTCGAAAGGATAAAATAGTCAAAGATTCGAAGTACAAATTTTTCATAAATATAATGAAACTAGTTCATAGTTTTTCTCTTTTTACTTGTAATATAAACATTTTTAAAATAAATGTATTTTTTGATTGTTCTTCGTATTTTCTGTCTTTTTTTAGTGCCTTATTTTGCTTTTTTTGCAATACCTAGTGCCTTTTCCTGCCTTTTTCGTTGTTTTATTTTGCCTTTTCCAGCCTATTTCGTTATTTTATTTTGCCTTTTTTATAGGATTTTAGGTCCTAAAAATCCGTTCCTTGGTTATGACATAACTTCCATGAGATGTTTGCTGAAATCTTCTGGAAGTTATGTCATGACAGGCGTATTTGTGTGTTTGGCGGGCTGTAGGTGGGTTTTTGGTTAGTGTGTTGGTGTTTTTGGAATAAATCTTTAGAGAAATGAAAGAAATTTTAAATGAGAACAGGAAATGCCAAAATGCTGATAGTGTTTTTTTTTTAAAGCACAGTTACCTATGGACATGAAAACGGAGAACGTGTCAACTGACACGATCTATCTTATGGGATCTGCTTGTTAACAAAAACTCACCTCCGCATGACCGCGACGTAAATAGACTTTGCTTCTCTCTCTTTCTATCAACAGCAAACTGGATATGTTTCTACGCACTTCTACGCTACGCTCGTACACATTCGGGGTAAAAACATAAACAGATGGCAGCGTTGTTCCGTATCAACTCGGGAATTAACTGCAGTTGATCCGGATTAAGTCCGAGTTAATCCGGATCAACGCTGCCGTCTGTTTAAGCTTTAACCGCGCTCTAAGGAGGATGTACAATGCTTTTGGGTATGCAGTTTTATAGCCCATTTAATTATAGTAAAATAAAGTGCAAGTTGGAAGTGGCAACAAACTACCGTTGATTTTTGGCAATTTATTTTGCTGACGCTTTTTTGTAAACGCTAGGCGGTAGAAAACGCTCCGCTCAACGCTTCTATTTAGCTAAGGCTGTTATTTGGAGTTTATCACAGCCTATAACTATGCCATGTATTGTTACTATCGGAATTTTACGCTAAAGCAAAACACATACATATGTGTATACAAATCCCTCATTTACTAAAGGTCTGACATAACTCAAAAAATGAGCATTTTGAGCAAACTATGCAGAATTACTCGTTGTGTGTAAATAACGTGCTGAAATCTCATGTAGTGTCCGCGTAACAAAACAATATGCATCTTTTCTTTACATTTTGGGAGCAAGTCGAAAACTTTGAACACGTCTCCTGAAAAATCTCGTTTTGTTGTGACAGTATTTTCAAATATAGCTCCATTGGCTCGATAATGCCATACGAATGGATGCAAACGCCTCCATCCTGAGCAGAGGAAGAGGCGCCGAAGAGAAGCAACTGACGTTCTGTTTTTGGACTTGGACCAAATCGATACGCATTTAGTACAAACTCTTTGTTTTATTTTCGTATAACAAACCTGTTTTTTTTTTGTTTATTTCTTCTGGTTCACTAAGGAAACGTCCCTTACATATTCTACTTCTACTTAAAGTTAAATACAAATACCTCATTAAACAAAATGTGTTTCAAATGGATTGCTATACATCGGTCCATCCATGTCCAGTCGACGGCTTAGATCCATCTGATCGTTTAAGAGACTGAAATCCGCATCTGCCATAAACGACTTGTAGTCCACTGGCGTCCAGCCACCTAATGAAATCTCCGGTTGTAGAAAGTCTCGATTTGCAGACGATTGGGAAAAGTCAGTGTCCAGAATACCATCCGCAATGGCGGCATTGAAAGCGCTCATGTCGACCAAAGGTGCAGTGGATAAAGTGCTGCTGCTGTTAATATCGAATTCATCGGCGCGCCGCATTGCTGTCGGATGTGCACCAAACGGAAGAAGGGGCACAAATGGTGGCGTCAAATCCATTTTTCTTAGTGTACTTCTTCGCGCCGGCGCTGTAAGATAAGAGCGCCAACGTGGATAGTTCGAGGCTAAGTAGTATGTAGGTGGCAAGGTATCCGCAAAGTGAGTAGGCCAACTGGTGGGCAGCGGATGGTAGTAGTTCATTTTCGCATTTCGTTTGTGTGCGGCGGTTAGATGCTTTGGCATTGGTTTGCGTTTTGGCGGTACTAATGACAAAAAATACATACATAATGAACACATATGAAAACAAAGAAAACAAAGAAATACATATTTTCATTTATTCTTATTTATTCACCTGTACGAAAAGTGGCCGAAATTTTAGGTGAATTACTTCTCTTCTTGTGATGTGAACGCCACTTTTTGGCTTCCGACTCTGCGCAAAAGTAAAGCAACACCAGCATCAGCAGTAGAATAAGTGAGCTTCGCCTGAAGTTCATCGTATCGTTCTTATCAAATTTGCGGCAGAAATTTCTTATCGCTTTTAAGATTCACATGCAAAAATTTCGAAATGTTTACAATTTTTCGAGTCCTTGCTATTGGTTTAAACCACTTCGTTCTGCGATTAAGTATACGCCTAAATACTTTTGCTGCAATTCACGTGCGCTCCACAGCTCCGGCCAAGCGCGTTTAATTTTATGACCAATTTTAGCGTGACTTTACACCTGCTTACGCAGCGCTAACGGTTCACGCATTATATGAAATGTCAAGTAGTAAATCGAATTGATATTCCAAACGAATGACAAATTAATTGGCATCGTAGTCGTTAACTCTTTGCCAGAAGTCGTGGTGTGTGGTTGAACTATGGCGCTTATCGCAGATATCGAACTTTCTTTTTTACTTTTTTTGTTATAGTACCTTTATGCAAGCAACAGAAAACAGAAAACAAAAAAAAAAACTATCAATACGGGAGTTGGCTAAAGTTTAAATAGGATCTTATATAACAGAAAAAAAGATTCGACAATAGTCTTCCAATGGTAAGGAACCTTATGCCGAAAGTTTTCTGAAACATGTAGGTTGATCGTCCACTCAGATGTTGGAAAACTCACCTTTGTCATTTACCATGTCGAGGCAGGTGCATTCGCCACTCTTATTACACTGTGAGACAAATGGTAGGGGTCAGTGATCGGGAAGGGTTCAAACTACCGGGGAAAGTTATATCGGTAAAAAAGAAGTTATACGTGTCCCGGCGTTTCGCTGGGTCACGTCTAGGAATCGAGATATATCGATTTGAAGTTAGTAACTCTCATATAGGGGAAATTGTTACCTTTGGTGGTCTTTTTTTTTGACATAACTCGAGAACCACTAGTCCTATTTTGCTCAAACAAATTTAAAAAAAATTAAAAATTACAATTCCTTTAATCTGTTCATATAACGTTTTTCAATATAATCAACAGTTTTGCCGGTAAAAATAAATGTTTGAAGAAAAAAAATATTTTTTGCCGATATAACATTTCCCGTTGGTTTCATCCCATCCCGATTTTGACTGTCGCATAGTGTTATTATAGTAAAGAAACTGAAAATGAAGATTGTGTAAAGTTTATTTTATTTTACGGGATATTCACGTTGACTGTCACTATGTATAGGGAATTTAGAGAGTCACACTTCAGGCAGAAGGGCCATTGTGATATCACTAGTGTGACCTGTAAAGCATCCACTTATTTTTCCGTAAACTCTTTACTTCGTTCCTGCAACTATAGTAGAAGTCATTAGAGGGGAGACCTTTACGTTCTTCGTGTATTCCTATTGAACAGTATGCATAGGCAAGACCGATCTCCAAGGTAATGACGTGACGAGCACGATCTTTATTCATATACAATGTATATTATACATATTTACATATAAACATTCCGAATTCCGCCAAAATGAATTTTCCCCTAGATTTTCTTAATAGTGGCCTGCTATTGACACACGGTGTTAAACTTACAGGCCCATTTCTGGAAGAAAAGGGCTTTTGTAAAAATTTTGAATTCTTCATCAGATCGAGCTGTACTTAATGAGATAAAGCTCGTTCAAATCAAAAGATGTAGACGTCAGAGATGTTGATCCAAACTGCATACATACATACTTATCTTTGTATATTTTAGGTAAATACATAAAATATTTCCTACTTAGTTTCCAGAATATTCATATAAGAATCAAGAATAGACAAATAAAGGGAACACGCGCAAGACACATTTATTCAATAGTTTATTGAATTACCCATAGTCTTTCGGTTTCTCAAAAATTAAATATAATACCTTTAAATAAAATCAGTTCAGTTCTGAGTTATTAGTTTTATGAAATATGTAAAATCTTTGTACTAGTAATATGCTGCATTCGAGTAAAGCGGGTTAAAATTATTCGGCAACGTATAGATCTCATCTGGGCGTCCATTAAAGAAGAATGGACGTTTCAGCAAAGTCATTTTGGAGTCCTGTTGAAGTGAATTTGATGAAGATTGTGGCCCATGTGACGTATAGCTGTTGGCAACATTCGAGGCTGCCGGTCTGTTGACTCCAGCAAGAGCAAATGGAGATGGTAATTGTGCGGCAGGACGTATACCAAACAGATTCATATTGTTGAACTGCATAGAGTCGGGAATATCATTTGGGGTGCCACCGATCTGGTATATGCTTGTAGGTTTGCCATTCGCTACGAAGTTAAGCGGTATATTCCAAATCGGGCTGATCGCGGGCAACGCAGGCAATGCCGTGTATGGTTGTATAGCTGGCACAGGTGACTGAGAGGGAGTAAAGCCCAAACCGGGTATGAACATATACGGCATTGGTGAAAAACGCATAAAATAGATCTGAGAGTTTCGCGGATTTGATCCGGCTAAGCCAGACATCGGCGTGGAGTCGAAGTGAGAAGATTGCGCTCTTTGGTCGCCTGCGGTGCGGGGTATGGACTCGTCGTTTTCATTGCCAGTTCCGGTATAGCCAGGGTAGAGTAAATCTGTAGGGCCGAAAAACATTGGTAATGGTATTAAAATTGGTTGAGGATAACCATAGAAGGGCAAAAGCCGTGGAGTCATCAATGGGGGTAGTGTATTGCCAAACGGGCCATAAGGATTGTAAGGTAAACTAGTTAGCATTGTTGGCATTTGCGAAAAATGATTATTCGGTGTCATATATGGATTCCAAGCCATTCCATTTCCAGCAGTCAAACGTGGTTCAATCTTCAAATCGTTCAAATATTGATATGGATCACTAATCTCTTCATCGACACCAACGGCTTTCATCATATACTCAGAATTGGACGTATCGCTATTGCTGCTTGTTATTGTTGGTAGATTTGATAGCGAAATCATAGGTTCCTGTTGGTCGTGTGGGCGCATGTGTGACCGAGTGCTGTCTTGAGGTATAATTTGATGAATTTCTGGAGTCGGTTGTTGTTGCTGATGCTGCTGCTGTGGTTGTTGTTGTTGCAAGTGTGTTTGTTGTTGTAAGTGTGTTTGTTGTTGCAAGTGTGTTTGTTGTGGCAGGTGTGACTGTTGTTGTTGCTGTGTGGCTATCTGCTGTTGTGGCGATGAGTTCTTATGCGTTGATGGTATACTACCGCCAGCGGCATTTGTTGAGCCAAGCAACAACACCAGCACGGTAAACATGAGGTGAACTAGCCGGAGGGCATGCAAGACTCTTTGGAGATGGTATAGCATATCGACGGCAATTCGAGTACTGTAAAGAGATGGAATGAAATAAATAAGTTAAACTTAGAAATAATATTGCTGAGAATGTTGCTTCGAAAATTGGCAAAACTGCATGGTGTTCAATTCTTTTTGAATATTGCGAGGTTGATCGCAGGGAATGTAAAACTTTATTTGCGGATTTTCGGGGGCGCTACACAGTGTTTCGACTATATGACGGCAGGTGGAAAAAATGCATGGTGACAGTTGATAAGAAAAACCAGTTGCGTTTAGAGAGGGAAAAGTAAAAGTCATACATAAACAATTTCAGATCATTTACTTACTCCCCCTCTCCTCGAAGGGTACACTTCAAAAACACACAAAAGAAAAATACTGGAATCGGCGCGACACCGGCCAATCACTTAAGTTGCCTTTGGCGCTGAACTCATCAAAGCAAGTGTTCTTTTTTCAACTGTAATCAATGCTTTTAGTGTCGTGAAGGTATTTACCATTTATTTGGTATTTTATTGACTTTCAAATGTAAATGCTAAACATTATTAGTAAAAAAAAGTGTGAGTACCGGTTCACCAAGTTTTGAAGTTAGACGCATGTTTTATAGAATATTATTTAGGTTTCGAATATATAATTGAATCATTTCGTGCGACTTTAAAACAACATGTAATTTTCGATTCTCTTAATTTTCGATTTTCAGCTTCTTTGTGCGCGATTTCGCGAAAAGAATGTTTTGAACAATGAAAAATCACAGCAAACATTGGGAGAAAAGAGAATATTTACACCAATGTAACTTTTAAGTAAAACCTTTGTTTTCTGAGAGTGGAAAACAAGAAACAAAAATTAACCAAAATTCCATTACATTTAATTACTGGGCCCACATTTTTTGCGAGTTTTAGACGTTATAGTGATCCACTCGTCCACATATTTTATATTTAGGGCTTTGTAATAAAAAAGAGAGTACAAACTAAATCTCATCGAAATCGAATGAAATATAATGTTTCCGCCCACGAGTGTGGAGGGCGTGGCGATTATTCCATCTTCACCAAATTTCATAACTTTCTATTCCTAAGTAAAATTAAAGCACATGTCAAGTTTCAGCGAAATTGGTGCAGGTTAACTATTATATCCACCTGCCGCCATATAGTCGAAGCACTGTGTACCATTTAGAAAACAAAATGGCCCAACGTTTTACTTTTTTTGGAGGCTTCATTTTTCACTCAACTCGACTATTTTTTTTTCAATGAAACCTAATAACCTCGATTTTTGAATTTTTCGCTTGTAGATATGTATTAAATTTTTTAGTGCAAAGTGCAATTTTGAAGAAAATCTATTCAATCAATTGTAGAATTCTCCCAAAAAAAAAAAAAATATGTACTAAAAAAAAATAAAAAATTAAATGTATAGAAAAAAGTTTACCAAATTTTATTTTATTTTTTGGTTTTTATAAAACTTTTTGGTATGCAGTTTTATACACCATTAAATTTTAGTATAATAAAGTACAAGTTGCAAGTGGCTAAGAGTTCGCGTTGAGTTTTAATAATAAAACAAACGCTTTTAGCGAAAAAAAGTATTAAAAATCAACGTTTTTTTCCGTTCTTCAACAAAATTCAGAATTAGGGCGTTCTTGAAAAATTTTAACCGAGCGATCTTGCACTCAGCCGTCGAATTGTAATATCTTTACCAATTTCAATTTTCTAGTGTAACCAATACAGGGTGCTCAATGACTTCGAAATACGCTACTGGATCGCTTTGAGACTGATTGGTGATTTTTATGAAAAGCTACTGTTGCCATGACAACTGAAGCTTGTAATATTTTTTTTAGCTAATTTAAATTTGAAATGTTCTAAGGTTGCTTAATTGTTTGGTTAATACAAGTACAAAATATAAACATTTCATCAGCAAAAACTTTTCTAAATTTGTACCAGTGCCAAACGAATTTACAGTTTGAAGTTTATGCGAAGTTATGCGAAGTATGCATAATCAGATCAGTAGCCTCGCGAGGATATGCGCTCTATGGGTGGGTGTTTATTTTGTCTGGCACTGATTTATGCTTAGAAACGTATAGTTTGGTGCCAGCACCAAAGAAAGGGCCCTAAACCCTATTTCGAAAAAGTGTTTTTTTGGGCCACTCTAACGTACTACATACATACATACATGTGATCCTTTTTGCTTCTGTAACCTTTTTCTATGTCGATGCTAAGTTTTTGAGAATCGCTGTAAACCTAAAAGATCGTCCACTTGGAGGATAATACACTAACAACATCCCACTCAACCCATATATGTATATACATACATATGTATGTATGTATGAATGTCTAGTATGGTTGAATGAACCACACAATCAAATAACCTCAACAAAAGGTGCAAAATGTATTCTAAAGATTCTTAAGAGATGCAATGTAACACACCAATTGCATAAGTATCCACATGTTGCATTTCCAATGTTGCGATTACACATTGCAGATTAAGCAATAGCGCTACGTGACGAATGAATATGCGGTAATATTCCGCAAAACTACGGTTCTGTGAGCTCATTTCCATTAGGCCGATACATACATACATATACCTATGTATATTGTATTATATATGCGTCTGCGAAACCAATTCGAAAATCAATGGCCTGACCGTGACTTAGCGGTCTGCATTAAGCTATACTATACATAAACCGAAGTCGGGCGATTAATTTGAACTTTATATTTGGCATATGTAGACTTGCCGTCTCGTGCTCGTGCAACATTTATTTAGCACCTTGCTCAGAGCAACCAATAACCATTTAGTGCATTATTGATGAGCAAGTGATTCTTAAGTTTATTGGGACAAAACTTGTGTTATTGCAAACACCCCACCACACTCATCTTGTTTCTTTCTCTATTTCTTCTTTATTATTATTATTATTTTTATTTTGTTTCATTCTCCAAGCATTCGCAAAAACCTACATAGGTATGCGGTCATAATCGTTGTCTGCAATATTTACTTGTATCTACTCCTGTTTTTACGGTTTGTTGATTATTTTTAGCGCCAGCAATTCTTGAAATTGCCGTCATTATGTGACGCATGTTGTCAACCGATATACGCCAGTGGCGTTCTGCAGATAGTGCATATATATATATGGGGCGTTCCATACCAAAACGGCGGGGTTCACACTTCATGTATTTGATTTGTTTAAAACTTTTAGAGTTCATGCATAAACATAAATAACAAATAAATATGTGCTTGATTAATACAATTTTAAAAACTTTATAGCACAAAAACAAATCGATTATATAGTTTTCCAAATATCTCGAGAACGGGGCGAGAAAAAAATTTAAAAAAAAATCACACCAACACACATCAAAACTCTATATGAAAACCCAGCCAACAAGGAAACGTACATTTTACGAACATTATGTTTTACGAGGGATTCTCGATCGGCGAAAAGTTAGACAAAGGCTCGGAAACGATAAAACAACAAGTAATTTTTAGCAAAAAAAACTTCAACTCTCATATAAAAAAAAAATATATATATATATCTCATGATCCACTGATCGGATCTTAACCAGATTAGTATGGGACCACCTCTGAGACACTACCTTTCCGATGCAAGAATTATCGAAATCGGTTGACGTGGTCCAAAGTTATGCGGTAACATACATAAAGAAAAATAAAAATTTCGACGAACTGATAACCTCCTCCTTTTTTGGAAGTCGGTTAAAAAAGAAAAGAACGAGGCTTGTAGTAATTTGTCAGCACAAGAGAAAATGTTCATTCTGTTGGAAGTTTTTCTTGAACCACAATATTTTATAATACATAATATTCGCATACGAATGCTTTTTCGATCCGTTTACGACGGTTCGTAGGCGATCGACAATTTCAAGCGAAAAAGTACTCGAAAACGAATCGTAGACGGCTATCATAACCGACTTTTTAGCCGGTTTTTCTTCGAGAAAATATCCAGTTACGAGCTCGTTTGCAATGATTTCGCTGGCTGGGAAGAAAGAAATATTTTTTAAATTTTTTTCTTGAACATTTTTTCACATACAAATTTTTTGATAAAAAAAATTAGTTTTTAATAGGGCTGTGCGATTAATTGATTACTCAAAATTTTAATTAATCAAAAAGTAAATAACTCAATTATTCGATTAGTTGGAAATTATGATTACTCAAAAGATCAGTTACTCGAGTAAGCAAGATTTTTGATTAACCAAAAAAAAAAAATATTTGAGTAAGTTGCTTTGTGATTAATCAACATTTCGAGTAAAATGAGTAATCAACATTTCAACTCTTTACGTATGTATAAAGTAGTTAAAGTTCCTTGATACTTTAAAAACAACGCTTCTGTTTTCAAAAATTAAAACGAAAAATTTTTTTCATATACAGAATGTAAAAAAGAAAATAAGCAAAGCAAACTCTTTTAACGAGCAAACTTATTTTTTTTGAGTAATCATATTTCAAGTAACTCAATTGATCATCGTTTTGAGTAATCAAAATCTTGATTACTCGAGTAATTGATTAACCGAATAATTGATTAACCAACTTGCTCGAGTAATCGAATAATGGCACAGCCCTAGTTTTTAAAACTATGCCATCTCGAAAAAAATTGAATAAAGTCACAATGGCGGCTCTGAGTATTGCGAAATATTTAAGAATAGTATTACTGGGTGTACTCTACAATAATTTGAAATATGAATTTTTTACACCGAAATCGAGTAAAATGAGTACATTAAAAATTTACACATTTTTTTAAATTTTTATAGAATTTTTTTGAGTATGCAGTCTTGTAGCCCATTAAATTTAGTATAATAGGTGCAAGTTTAAAGCGATTGCAAAACTGGCGGACATTTTTTTAAATTTAGTTTGAAAACGTTTTTGCGCATTTTTTTACCATAAGAAAAAAGTGCAAAAAGCCGTCAGCATAAAAAATAATAAAAATCAACGCAATTTTTCAGTAGCTTAAAACTTACACTTTATTATACTAAAATTTAATGGGCTACAAACCTGCATACTAAAAAAATTAAAAAAGGTAAAAAAATTTTAAATTTGTAATGTACACATTTTACT